ATCTTTCCATATACCTGTAGGCAATTTCAAGACCTGGTCCTGGGCACTTCATCAGGCTGCTAAATTGTAGTATAATTGCTAAGTTGGTCAAGGTGTACTCGTGCTGTCCCAAATAATCAGAACCTCAGCACGGTACAGGACTTAGCAGGGGCCAGCAATCATGCCTAATCCTGAGCCTAAAGGCTGCTACCTGCTTTTTGGGCATGACAGAGCCCATTTCTTTGGTCAGTCTTGGCCAGTTGGCCTCAAGAAAAGTGATGAGACCCACGTCTTTCGTTGACTATTATAGATGAAGGGTGAGGTTCCTGACCTTGGTCAGCTTGTGGTTGTGTGGGAGAGGCCCTCAGGACAGTTATTCCCTCAAAACACAGCCCAGGGTCTTAGAAACGTGCTTCTGCAGCCTTCTTACACACCAGCATCCTCTTCGTTTCAAGCCAGCCTGTTGCCTGAGGCATCCTCCTGCGCTTTCTGCTGGTGGTACTCGAAACCGCCTCTGTACACCGCACCGTGCCAAGGCACAGACATTATCCTGCAGTAGTCCCCACTGTTTAAGTGTCAACACAGTCTCTGGCAATTTTGGCAAAGGCCAGCCAGCATGGATGTAGCCACGTGGAATCAAGCGATGCCAGCTGGCCAAGGACAAAGGCTGCTCTTTGGTTTCTTTTTAATGGTATGGACCGAGGCTCTGACTCCATAATCCTGTCTCTGAACATTTCTGCTAAGTGGTCGTTGTCATCCACATGTAGCATCCCTTTCCATAGGATCGTGGGCGGTTTTATTTTTTACAGCAGGAACCTCTCCTCTTCTCCCCCCTGGTGGCACCCTGGGGTCCTCCCCAAAGATTATTTGACCACATTTCTGGAGCTGATGGCTTTGGCTCCTCGAAAAATGAGTTTTGGCACAGGCACAGCGGTGACTTTGCCCCGCGCGGTTTGTGTGCTGCTGCAGCACACATAGTAAATAAGCATGAGGGTAATTATACCAACAGGAATGCTGGGAACCCTGCCAGAATGAAGGGGACAGCCAACCCTTTGTGCATTTAAAGGAAAAAAATCCCGAATCTCCCCCCTTCCTGGCCCCAAATTAGTTCTATCTCTTGAAGCCACGATGGGACTTAGAACTAAAAATACACGAGTACACACAAATACACACACTCGTATACAAAAATAGCCAGCATTCAAAAAACAATAAAGAGCCCAAAGTTAGGCTTCTGTATCCAAAATTAAGCTCTTAAATAAATAAATTAGCCTGATTTTCAAAAGCACGGAGCGGTGAATGGCTTTCACTGACATAAGAGGAAGCATCGTGTTGCTAAAGATTGAAGATCAGGCCTGAATATGGATTTGAAAGTCTAATTATAGAAGCCTGTTTGCTACTGGCTTGACCGAGAACAACAAATTTCAGGTGAAATGACATTGATCTCTTTTTTCTCAGAGTTTGTCTGCACTTAACCAGTATTAATAAAAGTAGGAAAAAAGCCCTCAAACAAATAAATAAAATACCACAAAGAAAAAAGAGATATAATGCAATAAAACTGCTTACACCAGTGCTGTGCATACGTGTTCCTAAAGAGGACTAAGCTTTGGCAATGCTAAAGCAGGATGAAATTTTATATTGATTAATTAGTTATGTATTAGGTGTTGAAAGCTTACCAGGTAGAAACACCGCCGTTCCCAGCTGCTGTAGGATTTTCTTGGCTGAAAACTCCCCAGCTGACTGATATCAAGGAGGAGTTTGTCTTTACTCCCTCCCTTCCTGTCCTTGTCACATTTGGGGCTGAAGGATGCTAAAGAGAGAGCAACGTATTTCTGCATGGACCAAAGACTATGTGGTATGTCATCTCCTGGTGGTGAGATGGGGCTTGCCAGCATGGGCCGCGTGGAAGACGTGGCTCTGATCCTGGCCTGATGTGGCTGATGAGCAGAGTCCATGTACACCTCATATACACCTCCTGGAGACAGCAGAGCCATCCTGGCAGGCTCAAAAGTCCAAGCCTTCCCTCCTTTCTGGGGGTAAAATTCAAGAGGTGTTAGGCGGGGGGTATGGGTTAAGGCTGGAAGGTAGAGAGGACCAAAGGGAAGTTCATTTCACTTCTGCTGCAAAGGGTCCTTGGGGCTGTTTTGTTCACGTGCTGTTCATTTGGGACACGGTGATGTCTTGCTGGCCAAAATTATGCCAAGGGACTCCTTGAGGTCGTAGTCCTATGTGGAAGTTTGTCCTGGTGGTCTTCCAGCACAGAGCAGATTGGGCAGGGCTGGGCCTTAAGGCATCAAGGAAACATCTGCCCTGTGTGGAGGACATTCAGGAGGCCAAGTGCTGCTTCGCTCCTGGGTTTGTGCTGTGGTGGTCAGAGGCCTGAGTGGTCACTGAGACATCTTGGTTCTCCTCTCCACCTGATTAGAGGATTGTAGGAAAGCCCTTTTGGTGATCCGTGACTCCGTTTCCCCAACTATCATCCAGAGGGACCTGCACAGGCCTGAGAGGTGGGCCCCATGAGGTTCTTGTAGAACCCCATGAGGTTCTACAAGGCCAAGGGCAAGGTCCTGAGTCAGGGCTGGGTGATCCCAAGCACAAACACAGGCTGAGTGGAGAATGGATTGAGAGTAGCCCTGAGGAGAAGGACCTGGGGGTGGTAGTTGTCAAGAAGATTGACACGAGCCAGAAGGGACCTCCGGAGGTCCTCAAGCAGGGCCACCACCATTTTTACATCCTTTTCTGTGTGTTACCTCCGTGAACAGGTGGCATCTCTTCCCACTGTGGCCAGCCAGAAACATTCATGCTTGAACTGTGGGATGGCAGCGAATCCCTAGAGCTCAAAGAGAAATCATTGCAGGACACGGTGCCCCTTCTGTTTGCTTCTTCTTAGTTGGTTTGAGTGACTCAGTGTTGTCATGATGGTTTGCTTCTGCCAACCTGTAGTCCTCAAAGAAGCAAACATGGCCTTAAAAACCATCAACAGCTGGGGACAGCAATGTGGAAGCGCAGAGGTCGAGAAAAAGTGAGCTGAGAAAAGGGACTGAGAGAAAAATACCTTTTTTTTTTAATTTTTTTTTTTTTTTATTGAGTCAGAAGAAAGAAGACTGGGGGTTTACATGGTAACCGTGTACAAACGGGTATAAGACTGCTGCAGGGTGAAAGGGAACAAATTCTCCTTGCCTGGGGCTGAGATGATGAGAAATTAGTGCCTTAACCATCAGCTTTAGGCTTCACGTCATAGCAAGAATGGGAGCTCCTGGAGAGTGGATACCCACACAGGGTGACGGGATGGGTTGGGTGAATGTCTCTCTGGAGAAAGCTGGGCAGAGATGATGCTGTCTTTGCCCAAATGCCTGTGGGCAGCACCTTACGGGCACTACCACCTTTGTTTTTGGCAGTCCTGTGTCATTGACATTATGAAAACGAGCTGCATGCTCCTTTCCTCTGCTTTCTCCTTGAGCAACAAGGACAGCAGCTCACTCTCCCCAGCACTGCCTTTCCAGCTAAACAACATTTATTTAATTTCTTGCGCATACGAAGGGAAGGCAGGATTCCTGTGTCATCCTGCAGCTTTTGGGGCTGGGGATTTTCAGGGAAATGCCGGCGATGAGCGGGGACACCGGGCATGCAGGAGGAGAGCTGGTGTCAGGGGGAGAGCAGCTGGTTCCACGGGCACTTCCACCCCACTCGGGCTCTGCTGGGGCTGTCCCACCGCTGTCACCAGTGTCCTGGGCGATTGGTGTAGCAGTTTCTCGAGTGTCGAGCCCCATCTGGTGGCTTTCCTGCGGCATTTTTTGCGTCCTCTGTGTCTTTCTTTTCTTTTTTTTTTTTTTTCTTCTTTTTTTTTTTTTTTTTTTTTAATTTTCTGTGGTTGTGAGCAGCGAACAGGAGGAAGGACAGGCGCTTGAGGAAGGGCAGGGCTTGCAGAGCTGCTGCTCCCTGTGCCATGCTGCAACTCGGGGACATGGGGGCTCTCAGCTCCTGCATCCTTTCCTCCCTCTCCTCCCTGCTGTGCAATCTCGCCCCGATGATCTCATCGGTTTGGCCAAACCCTTCCCAGTGTCTCAAAAAGGCAGTTCAGCCCACCTCGTGCTGGCTTCTGAGATGGGACAGGTGAATGGTGCCGGGAGGGGATGTTCCTCTCCGTTGACTAGCTTACATGGCCAGTTTTAGGGTCAGCATTAGGTGAAATGATTGCCATACCAAATTTCAGAGCACAAGCTTAGTGAGGAAGAAGAGAGGGATGATATTAAATCATTAATATAAAAAAAACTATCAAGGAACCTGTTAGGACACTTACTTTCTTAAAACACTGAGTCTCGTGACATCTGGGCAGCTCGTGCTGCCCTGACTTGATCATTGCTGTTTAGAGGTTGGCCAGAGGTTCTCTCGAGGGAGGCTGTGCTCCCAGGGTGAGGTTTTTATGTCTCTTGCACACCTGATAGCAAACAGGGCCAACAGAGCAGCATCTGTCCATACACATCACCTCCTTCTAGTCCATCATTGCCCAAAACCTCTCAGTAGCTGATGAGTGGCAAGCTGTGGCCCTGTGGTCACACACATGCCGAAGGTGACGGTGCTGTCCTGTTGCTCCACTTGTGATGAAATGGGGTCAGGTCTCTGGGGTCCGTGAGGGAAGGTCCTTGGTAGAGTGCTGAAGGGGCTTAGACAATCTGTCAAGCCACCAGCAAGTGTCACAGTGAGCATTTGTCAAGTAGCTTCCCCTCTTGTCAAGAGAACAAAGCAGAGGAGTTGTTGTCTCGTGCAAGTGTTTCATGAGCATTTCTTACCCTCGTGCTTCACATTTGGGTGGTGCAAGTCGAAGATTTTGTGCATTGTTAAGAGCTGTCCTCAAATCCTGCAGGAGATGCTGTTAGAGCTGTGGAAAAACCTGTGACCCCACCAGCCTCCCTTTCCCCCATACATCCTCCCTCTCCCCATAGCCCTGACCCACAGCCCCTCTCCCCTTGGGTTTTATTGCCTGCTGAAGTCTCACGCTCAGCTTTTCCTCCTGTTTCCTGCAGGTATATCCGAACTATGTACCTGGGGATCCAGAGCCAGAGGCGGAAGGAACACCAGCGGCGTTTCTACTGGGCTATGATGTACGAATATGCAGACGTAAATATGTTGCGCCTCCTGGAAACGTTCCTCGAGAGCGCCCCTCAACTGGTGCTACAGCTCTGCATAATGATCCAAAAGAACCGTGCAGAAACATTACCATGTAAGTGGCCCCCCTCATCCTCCCCTCCCCATCCTCCCAGCCTCCCCCCGTGCCCCCGTGCTCAGCTGCCGATGGATGTTGTGCTACACAACCTGTGGTGTAAGGGGCTGCCACTTTGGACAAATCTCCTTCCAGCTCCGTGCTGCGTTTGCTGGGTAACATTTCTGCTCGTTCTGCTGAAAAAAAAAACAAACAAACACACAACATCAGTCAAAAGATGAGGTTCAGCTCTTCCAAACCCAGTCCAGTCTAGAGGAATTGTGATGTTATCAGGAGGAGACAGGCAGTCTCTGCTGAGGTTGGAAGTGCCAGCATTCGCATGGTGCCTGGCACTGGGTGAACACAATCCTTCTCTGCCTCAGTTTCCCTCCTAATGTATGTGGGCTGATAAAACTGGCCAGGTTTGGATTTGTGTTGGGAGGACAAATGGTTCAGTGCCTGTGCAATGCTCTGATGGTGTTAAGCTTAGTATAAGGAGCTTGGTTTTATAGGTAAAGGTTGTAGGACCTTGACTGAAAAGTACCCAAGAAAGAAAGCTTGGTCATTGGTACCATAGTTTTCAGAAAGTCCAAAAAAATAGATTGATGGAGAGAGTGGAAGGGATTGTGTAGAGACAAAGCTGTTGTAGAGCAGGTATCACTGCACGGGGAGATGTAGGATTGTGGAAGCAGCCACAGAGAGTTGGCCAATTCTGATGTCCTTGGCTGCAGTGATATCCTGGAGCATGGGGCATTTGTCCCAGCCAAGAGGCATAAACAGCTGCCTCATTTGTAGGGTGAGCAGCTCTACCAGCCCATGGGAAAGCTGGCTGCCAACAAGTCCCCAGGCTGAGGGAGAATTGTCCCCTCTGAGGATCAGTGGCGGTATCAGCTGATGCACTGCTGAGATATTCGGGTCCTGGGCAATTCACACACACGGGGTGACACTTGGACAGCGTTTCCCAAAAAAAGCCTGTCTGTGGCATGCCACTTCTGGGATATCTGAGGAGTTCCTTGGTGCTGGGATTGGAAGTGGGCAGTTCTGCAGGGTTGAGGTTTGCTGGTTGGACCAAGGTCATCACGATTCCAGGGCAGGACTCCTGAGGACTTGTACTCCTCTCCCCTTCCTCCATACGTTAGGCACATCCATCACAGTGGTTTCCAGAGGTCTCTCTTCTCCTATTTAAGCAGTCTTTTTTTCTGAAACCTCTCATCACGAGCTCCCCAGACCTCCAAACTGCTGCCACAATGAACACGAATTTCTGCAACTCCTGCTAGAGCTGCTCACATTCACCGGCGCCCTTTTCCTGCTGTTTCCAACAGCTGCTATTAACCCTGTTCAAAATGTACAAATCATAACTTAGGAGGCTTGCCCACGCCTTATGCAGATTGCTGGGCTTGCTGCAGAAGGCACTGGGTGAAGTTTTGCTGGCCTCTCCGCTGTGCAGGCAGTCAGGCGACAGGACCAAATAACCCCTCTCGGCTTTCAGAGCCGCGGCTCTTTCGGTTCTCCACTTGCAGGCATGGCTGCCTAATCCACTGAACAAGCTGCATCATTTTCTTCCCCCCTCCCTTCCTCCAGCCATGCAGTTCCTCCGTTCCTCCACCAAACCGAGCAGCCTGCTCTCTCTTCCGAGGCAGCACACGTCCTCTCGCCGAGCCCTGGAGGGCTCTTTCCCTGCCACGCTCCAGCATGCAGAGCCCTCCGGGTCCCCAAAGCACATTTCCTGCACCCTGCACGTCCCAGGGATGCTGCCTGCTGCACAGCACAAGGGATGCAAGCAGCAGAGCTTGCTTGGCGCTCCCGACTCAGATGCAAGGTTTCTTAGAGCTCCTCCATGCTCATTTGTGCTCCTGTCTTACCCCCCCCTCCTCCCGGCCACGTAATTATGCAAAGGGAAATTAATTGCTGAGAGAAACCATTATGAAGGGGAGCATCAGAGATTTCCCTTAAGGCAGGCAGAAAGCAAAGGAGATGGAGATAGATATTGTTAGGATGTCGATGTGTTTACAAATCAAGTTTGTTCTGGCTCGGGGTGTCTAGGTGAGCGTGGCTTGTCGGAGAGGACAGGGAAGGCCAGTTCTGCCTCGACACAGGACCAGCATCAGCCTCACACTGGCAAAAAGGCCCACAGCAGGGCTCATAAATCCTGGTACAACCTGTGATAATATGTCCAGACTCCAGCCTTTTCCATATTATTCACCCACTCTCTTATGGATTCAGGCAGTGCCAGAGGAAGGTCCGCTTCTCATTTTCCATGTCATACACCCCACCTCCAAGCCCCAGTCCTTCCTAATCTTAAAACTGCCATGCCAAGCCTGCTGCAAGCCAAACCAAGCTCCAGTGTTCTCCGCTGGTCAGCTGATGTCTCCATCTCCTATTTAAGGAGATGTAGATTGGTGTTACTGGAATGGCCATCAGGAAGTTTTGCTTTTTTCTCCTGATTCCCGTGTTAAGATAGCTGTTGAGGTGAGAAGAGTGGATCCACTGGAAGTCCTTACTCAGACCCAGAGCATCTCCTCCAGAGAGGTTTAGGAGCACGGTGACAGAAAGGGCTGATCTTGCCCTTTCTGGGCAAGTGGTCAGCAGGGAGCACTGTGAGGACTAGCAGAGAAGCATGAGAGCAGGCTAACACTTAATTTCATGATTTACATGCGTATTGGGCAGAGGGGAGAGAGAGAAAAAAGCCTCACCATGCTTGGCAAGAATCATTTTACTCTGACAGGGACCTTTTGAAAGGGCTGGGGGGAATCTATGCTTATTGCTCCTTCAGAGCTCAAAAAATGGATATGTTTCTATACTAATGTTACTAATGGGCCTCTGCTCACCCAATAATTAGGTTCTGCATGGTCTGACACCACCAGCAACAGAAGTGCTGGAGTTGGAATTGGAGGTAAAGTCCCAGCCTCTGTAAATCCTGGGACAACAGCTCCTGAGATTGCCTGAAGGTCAGGATTCGTTCCTTCATCATATCCTTGGCACAAGGCAGACCAGATCTCAGCGTAGCTGCCGTTGCCTGATGACTTGAGAAGAGCAGAAAATAGCACAGAGAGAAAAGAAATAAGAACGCAATGTACTCCCATCGGGTGAGCAGCTCTGACCTGGAAGATGCATGCCGAGATCCTGAGCTGAAGTACCTCGTGCTGTGGTTGCTGGGATAACCGGGTCTCCACTGGTTCCTGAATATGTATGGGGAAGGAGCTGGTGTTGGTATGCAGGCTCTTTGTGAGAAATTCATCTGCTACAACCTCAGCTGTCAGGGAAACTGGCAAGGAGTCCAAAATGGTCCTAAAATCATAGGATCCTCTAGGTTGGAAAAGACCTTCAGGATCATCAAGTCCCACCATCAACCTGACCTGCTGAGTCCCATCACTAAACCATGTTCTGGTGTCAACGGAGGGTGAAGGAGGAAGGATATCTCCAAAATAAGGGTCAGCCTGTGTCCAAAGGGGACAAAGGAGGTGAGATGAGATGTATCTCCAGGGAACCTAGAGGGAATCTAGGTGGTGCATTTACACCAACCACTTATCACTAGGCAAAAGGAAGTGATGGGGCTCAGAAGAAGATTCAGCCTTGTCCCTCACTCACTGTAATTGTCCCTGAGATTTTGGAGAGGACAGGTGAAAGCGTGGCCATCCCTCTCATATTTCTGGACAGCACTGGACAGAGGAGTTCCCTGATTTACCTTGGTTATAAATTACACAGTGTATTTAGGGAAGGAAATATAATATTAACACACACACAAAAAAAAGCCCACAAACCCAGACTTTTACTTTGTACCTGATAATTGCTCCTTGGGGATAATCCACCTCACTTCTTGCAGAATAAACTATCCTTAGTCCGCTTCACCCTTCAGAGAGGCCTGCTCTCCTGCACTGAATGGCAAGGAGCATACACGACCAGCTTAAAGGAGACACCCAAATTCTAGGCAGTTAGCGAGGTAAGAGGGATTCCAGTTTTTCAGCATAAATCTCCTCTTAAGGAGGTTTCCTTTCACTTAATTTTTTTTTCTTCATGTGGCTACTTAAAGACTTAATGAGATTTAGCAGAACCTCTAATGTCCTTCCACTCATGTCGTGAATGCTTTATGCAATGCTTTTTTGGGAATTTGCCTGCGTGAGGCTGCAGTATTCAGTGCTGGGCTTCTCCCCCGAAAAAGGGCTGTCGATCCACCAGTGCTGTGCTGTCTCCTCCACCGCCCTGCTGTTGATCTGAGTCAGATTTTCAACGTAAGCCTTCATTATGCAAAGTCCTGTTGAAGTCTCTGGGGTTTTGTGAGGTGTCTGCACTCTCTGCAGTCTGCGATAAATAGTCTGAAGCCGCTCGTATGTTTAAGAAAAAGCAACATTAGCTTAAGCCTGTCTGAGAGGTTGCTCGTTTAAGAGAAGTGATAAAAGTCAGGCACTGAACGGGATTTTGGACGTCTCAGCTACAGATGTGCGTTGGCTGCAGACTTATCACGGTGGAGTTTGCAAAAGACATAGCCAGGTCTTGTTGCTCCTCCCAAAGCAAAGTCCTATATCTGTTTTATCATCTCCTCACTCTTCCTCAACCATGTCCAGAGGTCATTAATGATCAGAGCTCATCCCTTTTTTTACAGGAGCATTCCAATATGCTTTTCCCTGTAACTCAGTTCAGAAAGTTGACTGCTTTTGCAGGGAATTGGAGGGAAGGGCATTGGAGGACAAGTGGTCAGCAGTTGTTCCCACTGCCCAGAGAAGGCATTCGTAGCTGAGCTGAGTGGGTTTGGGATGAATCAACCCGAAGTCAAACACCCCTGCAACTAAGTGAGAGGCTTCCCGTGTGGGTGATAATGAGTTAAGTCTAACGTGGAGATAAATTTCTCAATTAATTTCTCCCTGATGACAGGCTGATAGTTAACCAATAATAAGCTGTGAATAATAGATACGCTGTGAACTACATACAGTCAGAAATGTCCTGTTAGATCTATTCGCAGGATAGGAAATACATCCCAAGGCACCAGGATTTGTTGAGGAATGGTTTGAGATCTAAAAAACAAG